ATATATATGATTTGCTGGTTTATATTATCCGCAAAGACTCTCTAATCTTCAGTATTTCAATTTTATTAAACATAATTAGATTTTGCTGAAAATTTCTGCTGAAAAAATTTTACTTCAACTTTATTTTTTTCCCTCACATTTATTAAGAAATATTTGAAATATTATATTGAAATATTACTCGATGATGTCATCATATGGCTCTATCAATTTTTTAAAGTCGAAGAAACTTTCTCAAAGATTCAAAAAAATTATTTAAAAAAAAATCTAAAAGACTCTCTCTATTTCAAAACAATATATTTTATATAATTTTTGTTAACAACTCTGTTGTCATAATGTTCGTTAATGGCAAAGTAAATAGCCGCGTCGTGATTTCTGATGAGAATTCTCGCAGCTCGTAAAATAGCAGCTGACCAGAAATGCAACTGAGATATCGTCGGTGTTCTGTCAGCAATTAGTTGTTATACGTTCATGAGATTTACAGTTAGAATTTATACAGTTATGCGCTTTTCATGTCTTTTATACACGAAGTGTATAAAAGCAGTAGCTAAGATAGCTTCACCTTCTGCGTTTTCGAAAAAATGAGGGAAAGTCACAATAATCAGAAATAAATATCTTTAGATCGATATTGATAATTAAGAGAAGGAAAACAAGAAATATCTTGATTTATGTCATTGAGAGGAGAAAATTCTGTTAGCGCTGATTGGGCGATACACAAAATTGATATATTAAATCTTGAAATTGTATAATTCAAGTGTCATCATTATTATAGAATACAGGATACTTACGATTGTCAAAGTAGCGGATCGAAATTGCATAATCGTGTAAAATAGAAACGCAGTAAACTTCCCGGTGTAATAAAATTGTGCGGGGGACTTGGCGTCGCTCCAAGCCTCATCGGAGTTTGAAAGTCGAGATTTCAATTTTTCATCTTTATTTACTACACGCGCCACGCAGGCCACGCAGGCGTGTATTTACATATTTCCGTTAACGATAATTGCGGCTAATTTTCCGATTGGCAACGCACGCAAAACAACA